GAGTGCTACGATCTCTTTTTTTATTACGACCAAGCTACTCTTATTGCTTAAGTATTCTTGTATATTACTTCATTTGACAAGTCCCCAAAATCAGAACACGGTTGTACAGGAATGTAATTATATTTCAAATAAACAAGGTTGGATGGGAGTATACATCACAATAAGGAAAATGTTAGTATATTTATAATTTTTAGACAAGAATATTCTAATCTTCTTTTTAGCCAGTTGGAGTGCAACTAACACAATCATGCACTGAACATGTTTTAATACAATCTATACCTCGCTAGGATTGAAACTCGTCAGTTGGGTGTACGTGCGTTGATGCATTGATGTTCACCCCGAGATTCGAACTCAGTACCGTTCGTTTGTGAATTAGTGAGAATATTGGGACAATCCGCATGGGATGTTTGTAATCTCAATAGAGACTGGTAGATAATGATCCTAAACATCATCCTGAATATTCAAACAACAATTACAAATGAATCATCTGGTGTTTAGTAAGTAGGTAAATTTCGACATTAATAAATAAATGGTTGCATCAGCCTCGCGGCTTTCGAAGCAACTCGGCTTTCACCATAAGGCGACATAACTCTTCTAAATGAGGACCTTCTAACTCCCAGGGCAGAGTTTAAATGGTTTGAATTATTTTTTGGTTAGCGTTTTTTAGCGAGTTAGTGTTCTACGGGATGGGGTCGCTAATCCCATGCCCAACCCTCCTCCTTTATCCGGGCTTTAGACCGGCAGTAACCCCAAAGGGGCTCCAGGTGGAGTTCACGGAATGAACATCAACTTTGAGATGCAGGTATATCCAGCCGACGAGTCTCAAATAGGACGAAACGCGCGCCCTGTATTCCACTGCCAGCCACTTAAATTTTAACATTATTTATATTTTAAATTCACTATAGTTGAAACACTTTTTAGGTAAGAAACTGAAGCTAGGATACTGGATAAAGCGTTACAGTTAATCTTATCAAACACACAATCAATTTATATATATAATTTATACTCAGTGAAATAATGTAAATTAGCCAGTGATTTAGCTTCAATGGCTAATGATATATTGAAAAGTCAGCTTTGATAATAATAAAAAATGTTAACATTTTGATTACGAAATGTATATTTTGGATACACAACAAATCTATTATGTTGTCAAGCATGAAGTTCTAGATCTCGGCTTCATACATCCTGGTAGTTGATAACGCAATACATTTGTAATCTTAAAGGTATTGATGCACCTTATGTGACTTAAAATTGCGTCACTCAATGTGTTATCAGTGGAATTATTCATGATGTTATTCATAACCATCTCATTATTTTTCGGCAGAATTATATATAGAACTCCAAATTATTAGTAAAATGGAATAATATTTCATTTTACAAGCTCAATAGTATAATACGGATTACTGTTTTTTGATAGAGTTTTGTTCTCTGAGCTGGATGGTTTAGTCTTGGAACTTTCACGACTAAACCATCCAGCTCATAGAATAAAACTCCATCAAAATCATCTACCTGAGCTACAAATCTTCTCAACCACTGATTACTGTTTTTCGTATGTACTACGCTCAACAATAAATAACTTGAAATAAAGCCAGAACGAACATGGATGCAGAATAATATGAATTCATTATATTTCATGGTTTCTCATCAGTTGCTTACAACCAAATATGTGTTAAAATTTTACATTGAGGTAAGATATAGTGTGAAACAATTGACATACGTGAATGAAAAGAATTGGAATGACAAAGGTTTTCAGTAATAACTATATATATATATGAAGGAACAGGTCATAGGTCATTTGGTGTTAGAATAAGAAAACATGAGGGGTAGGTGATGTATTAATTAAGTGAAGTTCAGAGACAGATAAGATCAGTTTTAGAGGTAATGAAGGGTTTGGACAAGATTTCTGGAATTTAAAAAAACCTGGTAGGATGGGTTGCGTAATAAGTTAACAAGATTTGAAGAGTTTACATAATTTAAGAGAACTGAGGGAGTGGAAATGTATGAGTGAAGGGGTAGATTAAATGTACTTAAAATAAGGATTCGGTAAAGGAAGAGCAGTATAACAAACTAAACAATAATAAAATAAAACTAATGACCAAAAATTGAATTACCAAGGTAGTAATAAGATTATTACTGTCTCTTTTTAAATACATAGATCAGGTTTGAGTATTTTTTAAATCGCAATCGCTCCAGCAAACCGAAGAAGTATTTTATTATCCGCTAATAATTTTGAAAGCTTGAGGAATATCAATAGTATGCCCGGTGCCAAGTAAATCCCAAGCTATTGCACTGGTAAGAGCCCATTCTCCTCTCAGTTACTTAATTCTCTTAAATTATGTAAACTCTTCAAATCCTGTCCAATTATTACTACCTGCTTCGGTTTGCGCTCTCAGGCAGTATCCCAGCCCAGGATATGTAGCAGATATCTATTTGATGCCTCCTTATACCAATGTTTATGTGTTTAAATAAATAAAATACTAGGATTGTTATTTCATAAACTACCTATTAACCGATTTGTTGAGCTGGTTAGAGTTTTTTTAGCGAGTTAGTTTTCTACGGGATAGGGTCGCTAACCCTATGCCCAACCCTCCTTCTTTATCCGGGCTTAGGACCGGCGGTACTCCCAGAGGGGCTCTAGGCGGAGTTGATTTGTTATACTAGACATTTCATTATATCTTCACGAATGATATAATCAAGGTTTCAATTATATTGTCATCGAAACAATATTACACTATTTTATAATCAACTACATAATTATTGTGTAAACATGTTATATTTATGTATTAGAAATGTCATTTAAAAATGAATGAAAATAAACATTCAGGCCAAAAATGAATGTTACATGGGTCAAAAAATGTAACACCAAAATGTGCTTGAACGGATACAACCATAATAATAATAGTGTCGTATACCATAATGATAATAAACTAAACAATCGACCCGAATAAATTAAGTAATCTATCAACAAAATTCTTTGAATTTAAATAATTTTATTTACTTAGTGTCAGTTTATGTGATCTGACATCATGTGGTGTATGTTACTTATATCTGTAAATATAAGTAGTATGTAACACCAATTAGAAATGGAATGCCTGTTAAAACAAGATCGAGAAGATCTAATTGAACAAAACAGGAATGTAAACAGAGAGTTAATGTAATAACAATAGGAATGAAGGGATGATAAAGTTTGCAAGAGATGATCTATTGAAGATGTATAAATGAAGTATTTAATGTATGATTTTTGCATTGTACGAAATCACTATGTAATTGTGCGTAAAGTAATAATTTAACTTTCCCCATCACCTTATCGTTCGTTCACTGCAATTATACTGAAATCTGATTAGTCCTTTTTAGAGAAAAATAATCATTCATCTACTGTTTTGTAAATTATTTTTACGTTGGGTTTTATAAATTCATGAATGGTATTTCATAACAGAAGGCCTGTGTTGTGATAAGTTTATAGGAAACTCAATCACTCTAACAGTCTTATTTCTGTAACTGTATTAATCAATATCTCAGTGGTACAACGGACAAATGTACGATGATTTGTCTAAAAAAATGTCAATCATTTCATCATCGACTAATTATCAGTAACAGGTGAAGAGATATAAAAAAATGCAACTACTTAAAGACAGGTATACAATTAAAAAACCATCTATATTTAAAAGTAATTGGAAAACAGTTTCCCCCATGTAATAATAACAGTATAACTTCGATTGGAATAAATTTACGCAATATCACTTCGTAGATGTGCTCTCAGTAGTGAACAGTATAATGATGGTACTCCCAGTGTTTTAGTGAGCAGCGTAAAATGCTGAGTTCTCTTAAATTAAATGTAAAACAATAGCTCACTGATGATTTTAAATAACGAATTGGCTAGATTTCAAAAAAATATTCTTTTAGCTAAATGACAGAGTGCGCTCTATTAAATCTGATTGTTTTACTGATCTAATCTATGAATTTATGGTTGTTTACTATACTTTTAACAACTGGTGAATCCAATAATACTACCGGTTTCTTAACTATCTCAGTACTAAGCTTTTAATCCTGAAATACTGGGAGAAAGTTGTCAGCAACCGAGTTCGGAAATATCTGTACTTATACAGTTGTCATTAATCTCATAGAATGACTGCTATGCCACATCCTGACTGAATTAAACTTGAAAGTGTATACCACTCAAGCCTAGCCTAACAGTTTTGATTATTAATCACTGATGTGGACAGATGTAAAAAGAAGCATTGACAAACAACGAAAGCTATTTTTGCGGATGTTATTTCACTTAATTCAAAGTTTGTTGAACACTAACATTCAGTTTTGTTCTTAGTTTATTCTACAAACCATAAGCCTTCGTTTGATCTATGATTAACTGCCAAAACCTTTTCTATTCTGAAGCTATTGTAATTTAAACGTAGTCTTTTATAGTCTATTTGCTATCCTAATCCCCAGTTTTGGATATAACTGTGTTTTTCTGGTTGTTTGTGCGTTATGGTCATGTTAGTTATCTATTTCTTTATTTATGTATTTTTTTGTACTGACGGAATCGGAGTTATAAATCGTGGTCAGGACTAAATCGAGTAGTATTCCAGTTGACTCGTCTTCTCTCTCGCGCGCTTTTCAAACAATCACGTGATAGAATAGTTTTCGTCTCTATCCAAGGCAGTTAGTCTCACTTCGAATTTAAGCATACTAGCCTAAAGGTTAAACCAGTCAGTCACATTATCATGGCCTTAATCTAGATTGAAACAAGCAATCTTCTGTATATTAGTGGGTAGACAGATCAAGGATGTAACAATCGGAAACCTGAATGTTAGTAGATCTTTACTTCGACCTACAGTGGGGTTGTGAGTGTACAGTACTCAAGTGCTCTATATTAATACAAAACTGTCATACAATGCGTCCTATCTTACACTACCGGTTTAAATAATGTTAATCTATGATATAAAAACCTACAGAAAATCATGTTTTTGACTAATTGGTTTCAGTGAAAGAATGAAAATATTGATCGAATTTTTTTCCTTAAAAGCCAAACTTTACAATACATACAAGAAAAAACAAAACAAAACAGAAAAACTGTTATTTAAAGAAAAAAAAAGAAGCATAATTTCGAAATTTTTATTCGATTTACATAGAAACAAGAAATTCAAAGTCTATAAATTATCTAGTTTCCATGATCATATCAAATTAATCAAATTACATATTAGAAATGATACTAAATGAACAAGTCTTTAAACAATTAAAACAAAACTGTGAGACTATAATTTATAGACGACCTTGGAGTGACGCTAAAGCGACCCTGACAATGTTCAACAGCATACTACGGTTAAATGAAGGTTATAAACCAGTGTAAAGAATTAAGATTATTATTTACAGTTAATAGTTAAGATCAGGATGCAAATATAGGGTTTTCATCATGAACTAATATCAACTATTTATACGAATATTCGTCAAGATTAGAACGAATAGTTTGACAGTAATTGAGCGCCGAGTATAGAGAAGTCATTATATGTGAAAATATAATTTTCACATATAATAATATCAACTATATTGATAAAACTAAATAAAGCTAAATGAATGAATTAATTTCGCGCTAAAATTCAAAACCTGTTATGTTAAATCTGATTGGTTCATTCATAAATTATAATCTCACAGAAAATTGAATCTTGAACACTTCAGAACTATATCTGTCACTAATCAGATTGTATGATGATCATTATTGACATAAAATACCCCTCTTTACCCTCGTATATTCTCTGTTAATTATATTTTATATTAACCGCTAAAACAAACACAACTTCTGCATAGTTATAAACCATTAAAAATTCAGTTTTATTTTTCTCTTTTCATTGAGATACTACTAATAATATTGTTAGTTTTAATTGTTTTAAACAATTAACCTAATGCTTAAATCATTTGAAATTAACATTTGTAAACTGTTTACACTTTTTGTTTGTTTGCTCGTTTGTTCGCTTGTTTGTTTGTTTGTTTGTTTGTTTGTTAAGAATCATATCATAAACCAAGGTCAGTAGTTTATTAAAACACATTGATCATACGTATTGTCCATGCATATTTCAATATATTTCTATTATCATTATTCATAATTATATCAGGTAAATTAATAATTACACCATTCATTGTAGTTTTATTCATGATTCGATAAGATAATTGAATACCAATTAAACTTCCATCTAATAAAGTAAAATTAGATAAATTTGGATGAGCATTAATTGATCGTAAATGTAATTCTCTTTTACAAAATGTTCTTGTTTGTATTGATTGATCATTTATTGTTTCTGTGAAATTGTGACAATATTTATTTGGCCATTTTGTTAAATGTGCATATACTATAGATGGATTTTGTTTCATAGAAGATATTCTATTCAATAAATAAAGAGATGGCATTTTCATATATTCATTTATATTCTTATCAATCAATGCAGGTTTATAAGTATACCTAAAATTAAAAGTAATACAAATAAAGAATTATTAGAATGGGTATTGTGAAGATTTTTAGGAATTTCACTAGTTGCAATCATGAGTCAATTGAAGATAGACTACCATCTTAAACCTGGAAACACTGGACACACCTTTCGTCCCAGTATGGAACTCCTCAGTAGTGCGTATCCACGATCCGCACCCCCACTTCACGAGATTCAAAACCAGAACCTATCAGTCTCACATGCGAGTGCCTAATCATTAGACCACTGAGCAGACCAGCATCTAACAGTGTTAATGTCTGACTTCAACCAATCCACGAAATCGAGACAGTGTACACCATTGTCATCAGTGAGCTGATATCTCACAACAGACTTGGTTGAACTCCACTGGTCACTGCTTCTCATCAGAACTGCAGGAGTGTCTGTTGAAGTTAGTCACTAGTGAGCAGATGATTATTTTGAGAAGGGGTTTTGTGGAGATTTTAGTGCCTGGGGTGAAACGGCCGTGCAGTGCTTCCATGTTTCCCATGTTGATCTAGCTTCAATTGACTCATGATTTCAATTAGTGAAATAAAAAATTATCATTTCAGGCTAGAATAATAATTATTATTCAAATTGTCTATTGTAGTAAGACTATAATTTATGCATGACCTTTGAGAGACTCTAGACTGACCTTGAGAGTGTCCACCTAATAACTAGGACCAAAGGTGGGCTATAAACTTGTGTAAGGAATTAGAATTATGTTTGATAGTTGATGATCAAGGTTAGATATTAGATGACAGGTTTACATCATGAACTGACAACAGCTATATTGCCAAAACTATTTAGCCATTCCATCTTTCCTAATTCCCGAAAGTGCGCGTGAAGATGAAAAGGATCTGAAAAACGTGGTGCACTTGTGTAATATACTTCAAATAATTTGGTCATACACAGATATACCAAGACATTTAATTATGAAAAACGTTCAGTTTAAATACAAGATTATGAACCACAATGATAATACAATATGGAAAAGATCTAATGTTGTCATTCCAGTTCAAGTATCAAAAGGGACTGAAGATTACTAAAAAAATAAAGCTCATTGATTTGAATAAATTGCTTTTAAATTCAATTAAAATAGACTTAAATACTTCAGCGATTAGGTCTTCCAAAAACTATAAACGTGCCTTTCAAGATTTTCATAAAATGCTTTGAATAATGTTACAACCTTAACAAGTATGATCTTTTCAATGTTCTTTCTCTATTGAAAGTTATGATTCTATACTCAGTATATTTCTCGGGACGTTTAACTTTGACGAATGTTGAACATGAAACTACAATTGGAATAAATGTACAGCAATCCGACGAAACTTTTGATTACAAAAGAAACAAGTCGAAATATTATTCATTACAAATCCCTTATAGATTGAACCAAACATCCTTTCAACAAGTTACTTTAAAAATTCAAACGAAAGACCATTATGTCCCATGAGAAATTGTCCAGATCAGATTTCCTTCTATGTAAATTCATAAATAAACACTCAAGATATTCTATTATACAATCTGTTACATCAAATCTGTTGAACATAATTAAAGTACTTACCAAACAAAATCATAATTGGGTTCTTTTTGAATTCTCCATGGTTGAGTGGCATAAATACCTTCACCATTTATAGACAACCATTCGCCTAATTGTAATAAACGTTCTTCATAAATAGGTAAAATTGTTCCCCATGAAGTTGGACCAACATTAATGAGAATATTTCCACCAAAAGTAACAGTCTCAATAACTTCAGAAATAAGTTGCTTGAAATTGAAAATTGTGAAAGAATAAATTGGGGAATTTGAGAAAATCATAAAGTTGATGTTATACTTAGAACTTGAATTTTTGCTATACCGCGTACAACTAGTGCACTCAAACTCTTGAACCCTCCAAGTTGCAGTGGTTATTAGTTTGTCCAATCTGTAAGCTTCGCGTCGAGATTCTGGAATTTTCTTTGGATCTTTCAGAGCTTTTTAGAGCTTCCTTGAGTTCGCTGAAAGCCATCCCCACCGTTGGAAAAGACATCATTTGTTAGTATATATCTTACGTTAAATTATCTAAACATTTAATTTTAACAGTATTCCGTATGATTCTAACTATAAACTTGATTTAGATTCATCGTAGATCTATTGTTTTGTTTTCCCACAATAAAAATCACGAGTTAACAAAAACTAATGTGAAAATACTACAATCTGCACAAATCCTCATACTGATAACCATAGATTTAATCTTTGCATCATTTAAAAAGAGTTTGCTCAACCATTCATGCCATCTTGGACATCAGTATAAAAGTAAGGTTTTAGATTAGCTTTAATTAAACTTTTTGTTTCCAAAAAATATTCAAATAAGTTTGACACATTTTGAACATTTGCTTGAATCTTGTGAGGTGGGATCGTGGATGCACAGTAGTGTGGAATTTCACAATAGGACGAAATGGTCATCCAGTGCTTCCAGGTTTTCCATGGTGATATAGCTTCAATTGACACAAGATCTCAACTATTAAAATTACTATAATATCCATAAAACCCCTTCTGATACTAATCTTACATAACTATTATAATACTTACCTTTCATCAGAATATTTTGTTAGTTCATATCAAATATTATACAACATAGCAACTTTCATACACATAGTTCCCTTTATTATCTTAAATAGAGCAAGAACAAAGATTGGTGCAGAATAATAAATGGATTCATTTTATTTCGTTAGGTTCTCATCAGCTGCTTACAACCTAAATTATTTGAAAATCCGAATTATTACAGATATTGACATATTTATGTATAAGAGTGTGATTAAGGATCAATACATGTGTATGATGATCTAGCAAGCAAAGATTCAGATAGAGTTAATGAGTTCATAAAATGTTTGATTCGAATAAATAAATAAAGTTAGAGAGGGAAAGTTCTGGAACATTGAGATAGTGATTAGAACTCATGAAAATAGATTAATGGTAATAAAGAAAATATGAATTGAAATCAATCAGTTATGTATGATGTAATTTATATTTCAGAAAGAGTTGCAATAATGACGTAATAAATAAATAAATAGGAGCAAATGAATAGAAAGAGTGGGGGTTATTGTTACCAGGGTAAAAAAAGATTTATTACTGTCTCTTTTTGTATATATAAATCTGGTTTTAAACGTTTGATTGCTAACGCTTCAGCGAATTTCAAAAGGTTGGAATTTGATTGTTTGTTAATCACCTTGAAGGACTTCAGTATATCAACTTCATGTCCTGTATCAAGGAGATGTCTTGCGATAGCACTGTTGAATGCGTTCAACCCATTTAACCTTAAACTTTTCGGAATATGTTCTTTGAATCGGACGTAGGCTCTCCTTTCTGTTCTACCAATGTAACTGCTTTGGCAGGTACATGTAAATTTGTATACACAGTTGGTGGTAACATGAAAGGGATACCTGTCAACCTTTGATTGTGTTTTGGCATTCCGGAAAACCCCAAAACGTTTCTCTACAATCTATCAACAACGAAGTTAAATTAGATAGAAACAGAAGCCTTGTCACTTGGATTCAAATTTCATATCCCAAAAACACATGCTGACAGAAACTCAATTTGAGAATTTATTTGATCAAATTAAAGAGCTGCACCCAGTTAGTGAAGAAAAGAAAGGCTGGTTTAAATCTAAACTAGTCGATATTGCAAACCAATATCTTGTTTTACCCGCACCACAGTCTAAGCTTTCATCCAAAGACCACCAAACAGCATTACGAAATTTTAAACGAAATGACGATATAATGATATTACGGTCAGACAAAGGCTCAAGTGTTGTTCTAATGAACAAAACAGATTATGTCTCTAATGTGAAGTCCATCTTGAATGACCATATGAGATTCAAGTTAGAAAAAAGTAACAAAGACTTAACTGATTCCATTGAAGATGATCGATAACTCTACTTACAATAATCTACGACCTCGTGGGTCTCGTTTGCCCCACATGTATGGATTACCGAGAATACATAAACAAAGTTATCCTCTTAGACCTATTTTGTCAATGATCAATTCACCATACCACAAAGTTGGACGATGGTTGGCAGATAAGTTAGAACCAGTGCGTCAACGATTAGCCACCTATACACTAAAGGATTCATTTGTATTTGCTGACAGCATGAATCACTTAAATATTGCTGGTAAGTTTATGGTTTCATTTGATGTAACATCTTTGGTTACAAAAATATCACTTCTTGAAACCATAGACATAATTTGTCAACATTCTGACATCCTACCTCTACCAGTACCAGAATTTAAACGACTATTACTCATTTGTACAAAACATGTTCAGTTCCAGTTCAACGATATCATATACAAACAAACCGACGGTGTAGCGATGGGAAGTCCGTTAGGTCCTGTCCTAGCAGATATTTTCATGGCTAACCTCGAAAGAACCAAACTCAAACGAGCGAGTGATGAAATGACGTATTATTCGAGGTATGTTGATGATACCTTCATCGTATGTAATAATAAACAACATGCAATAAATCTGCTAGAGTTTTTCAACGAAGCACATCCGAATATCCATTTCACTATGGAACATGAAAAATAAAACAAGTTCCATTTTCTCGATATCGCGATGAAAAAAAGAAAAGATGGTACAGTTCAACGTTCAGTTTATAAGAAAGACACATGGAATGGTAGTTATCTTAATTTCAATAGCTTTTGTTCAATCAGTTACAAAAAGGCACTGGTCAAAACACTGTTTCACAGAACAGAAAGAATATGTACTTCCGATAAACTAGAAGAAAAATTTATGAATGTTATGAAATGTTTAAAGAATAACGAATACCCACTGAAATTTATTGAGAAATACGGCAAATGTGAAGATAAAATCCGAAAGAAATTACAGCAGATAAAAAGCCTATTTTTATTCAACTTCAATTCGAAGGTGATGATGTCACAGGATCAATCAATATGAGACTAAAAACTGCACTGACAAGAACTTATCCTGCAGCGAAATTGATTGTCCTGTCCAAAACATCATGTTCTTTGACACAATCAAAGGTCGACAGGTATCCCTTTCATGTTACCACCAACTGTGTATACAAATTTACATGTACCTGCCAAAGCAGTTACATTGGTAGAACAGAAAGGAGAGCCTACGTCCGATTCAAAGAACATATTCCGAAAAGTTTAAGGTTAAATGGGTTGAACGCATTCAACAGTGCTATCGCAAGACATCTCCTTGATACAGGACATGAAGTTGATATACTGAAGTCCTTCAAGGTGATTAACAAACAATCAAATTCCAACCTTTTGAAATTCGCTGAAGCGTTAGCAATCAAACGTTTAAAACCAGATTTATATATACAAAAAGAGACAGTAATAAATCTTTTTTTACCCTGGTAACAATAACCCCCACTCTTTCTATTCATTTGCTCCTATTTATTTATTTATTACGTCATTATTGCAACTCTTTCTGATGTATAAATTACATCATACATAACTGATTGATTTCAATTCATATTTTCTTTATTACCATTAATCTATTTTCATGAGTTCTAATCACTAATTCAATGTTCCAGAACTTTCCCTCTCTAACTTTATTTATTTATTCGAATCAAACATTTTATGAGCTCATTAACTCTATCTGAATCTTTGCTTGCTACATCATGATACACATGTATTGATCCTTAATCACACTCTTATACATAAATATGTCAATATCTGTAATAATTCGGATTTTCAAATAATTTAGGTTGTAAGCAGCTGATGAGAACCTAACGAAATAAAATGAATCCATTTATTATTCTGCATCAATCTTTGTTCTTGCTCTATTTAATATAGCAACTGTTTGATTTTTGAAATAATTACTTTGGTCATTATAATTATGTTTCTCTAAGTCATTCAATATTAATTTATAATCAATGTGACACTATATATTTATTACGTAACGCAACCACTCGGTGAGTGTTACTTCGCTCACTCGCTCGCTTTCACTATTCTTTTTGTTCGAATTCGCTTGATGTAATTGTGTCTTTATAATCTGAGCTATTCTATAATAAACTGTAATCGGCTCTTCATGTTGCCTTCTGGATTCATACACTGTTGGGATTTATTTATAAACATTTATCAGGGTGATTGATATACGAAGCCTAAAGAAATATCTCGAAGATATTCCATTACAGTTTATTTGCTTTATTTTGAATTTTAATAGAAATACATAAAAATGTCTTTTATTTGAGTTATAAGGCTTGGTCTCAGGATCAATGGACTGATTTAAAACAACTCAGGCAAGTTAGTTTCAATTTATGCACTAATCAATATTCTGTTTCGGTTTCCATGACTTGATAACACCATCTGTTACACCTTTTTCTCAATACTAACTACCAATATGTACAAACAATTAACTAAATACATGGCATGGCACTCATTGTCTTTTGTTGACGACAACTATGTTACTCGAAATGTAGTCGAGTGATATTGAGCATAAATTCTTACTGAAACTTTATAGGAACACGACAACTCTCACTAAATATTGTCAATTACTTGAACTTACATAGGGCTTAACATGAAGATTCTAGATTAAATCCTTTTTTCAATTCATGAGTCTTTGGTACCAAAGTGTCACATTTTACTGAGTAAATTGAAAAAAAAAAACAATTTTAATAAAATTTTTCACTTACTTCTGGTGTTAATATTTTATCTAAAGTTATTTCTCTTCTAAATCCCCATGAACAACAATCTAATGTCATACAATTTTCCCATTTATGTCTCACTAATTTACCAGGATGATAACGATCATCACATGAATAGTAACCTCCATGTTTACATGGGCAACCATTACCCCAACGATCATTTGTAACAACTGTATCTTTTACAGGTGATTCATTATATAACCAAGCAAGAAATTGTGTTGAATTCCAATAAGTATCTGGACCAGCATCACCATCAGACCAAATCACTTCTGGTTTATAACGTAATACTAAATCATATAATTCTGGCATTGTTTTTTGTTCAACAAATGTCTATAAATTCAGACAATATAGATAGGGTTATAATTTATGAAGTAAATATTAAAAAGTATTTGTGTCTCTTGTGTTTGAAGGTAGCAAATTAGAAATTCCAAACGTAGATTTCGTGATAGCTGTAACATATCAATAAAGCAAACTGGGAATTTGGTTGGGACTCAGTTTTACAATCTAAGAAATTACCACTGACCTAGTCATGGTGGTGGGTGACCCTTTCTATGGCCGATATATTGGCAACTGATTGCTTACTTAGTTCATATTTGTCTAGTACTGCTGATTACCTCAAAATATCTGACCCTTCAATATACTACTCGCGATGTTGATTTATTAAGTTTAGTGGTCACATATCAACTTGATAGGTAGAATTCGATCAGTACTAAAAGACAAGATAAAAATAATATTAGCCACTATTTAGTGAACAGTCGGTGTACCTTATAGTAACCCATAAGAAGTTAGTATTGTAATAACACCTTAGATTGTGAAACTGTATAATATATATAACACTCGTCACTGGTCAGTGATTAATCAATGGTCTAAAGTATTTAGAACAAAAAAAACATTTATGAATGTTAAACGTCTGGAATTTCGGCAACGTTATCAGTTTCCACAAAATCCTATTACATATGAACAGTTGATATAAATCACTAAACATTCGGGTCACACATTCATCTATACAGTTACCATAGGTATTCAAATTTCTTTATAACTATTAAGAATGAATTAAATTTTATCTATCTGTTTGCATACTGTCGACTGTTGCATATTTTAAACCTCTTATCTCACTAAACTTGGTAGACAGGCACATGAATAGAGAAACACAGTTTTAAAATATTAATCAATTCACTTTGTTTCACAGATACATTTGGTCCAACTTTCAATCTCATTGGTATGACTGCGTACAACTAAACCCAGTTTTACCCGAGAATTAATTTCGGTTAAGTATTTAAATGTTATCCATATACAAGTTACCTTAAAAAATCATTTGTTGCCCTAATAAATTATTATAATAGAAGAATAAAACATAACTACTTAGTAACTAAAATTGCTTAGATGACAAAATCAATACGTTCCAAATTCAATGTTAACAAATGCTGAGGAGTCCCACAATAGAATGAAATGGCCGTCCAGTGCTTCCAGGTTTTCTTCGGTGGTCTAGTTTCAATTGACTAATGATCTTTACCATTGAAATAGTTTCAATAAATTTCAGTTGATTTCATTGAATTTCTTATACATCTATTCTTATCTATGCACATCAATAAGGTCTTCTGCTTTCTCTAAATTTATTGATTTTACCCAATATGAATATTAATTACATTGAATATGACCATATATAACTGAGATGACACAGAATAATAATTAATCAATAAAAATGTGTACACGATACATGAACATATTTGTTTCAATAAACTTGTAGATTAATTTATATTAAATACCATTTGGATAAAAGATACTTTCTATCTCGAATCGATACCATTGAAAAATCTGTAATACTATCCTATAAATTTTATTTCATTCTGGAAATCCTCATCGGTACATTTCTAAGATCTCACACAAGATTGAACCCAATACCTTCAAGTCTTTCAGCCGAGACGTTACATTCTAGTGGAATATCTAATTCCATTTGGATCATATGAATGATTGTTATTTAATGATTACTGTCGGAACATACATGTCGTTAATCCTTGTATATAATTATCGCAATTAAATAAGTCAAATACGAGAAAGGGATTTTTGAATACCTATATTTTGAACAATCCTTAATTGAGAAGCGAAACAAAACAAAATGACAAGCAACGGAGAAGGCGAGTGAGCTAAATCCGTTTAACCAAGCATGTTTAGACATTTATGATCGAACAAAAATAAGTTACAGATACACAATTAGTAGGATCAGCAATTAGCACATATATAACCATATAAAAAACAGAATCAATAAGCTAATAAGTGACAGAATAAAAATGTAGCTTCAGAAGACTGAATAGATTAGTTTGTTCAGAGGCTAGAATAACCTATGTGGGATTGACATAGTACCAGCCACTACTAATTCCGATCACTGAGTTGAAATCAGACAGTGTGGTTAATCTGATACATAGCTCAATCATAATCCAATGGTATTGGTATCAAAATATGCCTTAATTCACAAATCAACATCCCCTTTCACTAGAATTTTGGGAATTTACCCCAAAGTTAATCAGTGGGTGCATATAAGTGTTTAGTTAGGTAAGTGGTTATGGGGTGTCGTACACGTTGGAGATAGTTCTGCTATTGCATCGACATCAAGTGATGATGAAAAAAAAAACTAGAGATTAATATATAGCCATTTCATCTCAATGAGAAACATCTCAGTAGTAAGCAGTTAAAGCGCTACTTCCGACCAAACATATAATATATAGGTCCCATAGCGAGTTCATATATCTACATGATTAAATTGAAATTCAATAGTTTTAATTAACTATTTGTATGTGTTTTCTCAAAATTCACTACGTAAATCCCGCAATCTTAACTGCATATTGTTGAGTAAAAAAAAAATATAATTGAAGAACTATGTATGTTTAAGAACATTTGTTTTTCAGACGTGATCAAGATTAGAAATTTGTCTTTGAAGTGCGTAGGAACTAAAAGTTAACGATGTTACCATATATTATTTCGAATAACTCCACTAAATAATAAAAGAGGACGTACATATAAAAAAAACGTTTACCCAATTATTAGACATACAAATATAACCTCATATCCGTATGGGGGTTGTGGAGATTGTTAAGTTTTGATTAGGATCATGAATTGATCGATATTAGATCACCATTGAAAATCTGGAAGCACTGGAATGGCCGTTTCTTCCTAGTATGATGGTCTTTAGTAGTACGTATTCACGATCCGCAACGTGGGATTAGAACCCAGGACATTAGGTCTCGCGCGTAAATGCTGTAAATATCCACACATGAGATATAAACTAGTAGTTTTATTGTAATGGAGTTTGTTAGAACTCTGTCATCTTAACATTTTATTACTTTACATAAAATGACCAGTATTGTTTAGCTGGATTTAAAGAAAAACCCAGAATCATTTGCTTAATACATAAAGTTTTAATGAAAAACAAAAAAAAATGAAGAATGAATCAACTCACTTGTGTTGTAAAGTTATTTTCTTTATCGTACAAATATAATGGATTAAACCATTCAAATAAGGAATGATAGACACCAAATCTTAATTTAGTTCTTTTACGAATAGATGTAGCCAAATCACCGACCAAATCACGATTTGGACCAATATCCATTGAATTCCATTGCCATGAACTAATAGACGGCCAATTACAAAAACCTTCATGGTGTTTCGCAGTAAGTACTACATAACGTGCTCCTGATTTCTGAAATAAATCAGCCCATTTATCAGGTTCGAAAAATTCCGCATGAAATTGTTTTGCAAAATTAGCATATGCAAAATCTGGTTCATAATATTTACGCATATATTCCGGTATTTCAGGCATTGTTGTTTTGTCACCTTGCCACATCCACCAAAACCATTCAGTCCTGTAGTGTGAGAGAAAAAGGGAAAAATGTACCGTGAAAACCAATCAAATGTCACTCACAGTGTGACCTTATATCATTCACCGGCTTTAGTTAGAAAATCATTATGAACAATAAACTGCTGTACAGTGAATTATTTCGAGTAATAGTTACTCCAACAGCGTCAATCCATGACTCCACTAAGGTTCAAAGCCAGGCCTTTTAGCGTGAGCAGTGCGTTCAGTGGGTTTGAACGAATTGTCCTACATTTCCAGCTTAAAGTAACTGATGATTTAACATCGTCAAAATCCAATTGTGTTATGAAACAGGTGGAGTCTTCAATCATGCCTAGGGTGCATCCAGCATCACTGATGTTATTAGATGATCTTAATGTTCCTACCCAAACTCCACTGAATTAAAAATGTGAACCTTTGCCTTTTCACCTCGTGGTTAAAGTTTAAATTCTCACCTGATGAACATACTGTTCAAACTCCAAACTAATGTTGTATAGTAAGTATGCGCTACTAAACTATACACTGGTACAAAATAGACATTTACTCCTTTCTGATTTTGAGCAGCATCACTAGTGGTTCCAGTAAATGATGCAAACCAACTACTGGTTAAAATAATCGGCCCACAATCTTCCAAGTACATTCATGGGAGTATAACTGCTAAGATATTTATTACACTTCATTCCCTCGAATATAGCAAGAACGAAGAATTGAGCAGAGTAACATGAATTCATTTTTTATTTCGTTAAATTCTCATCAGCTACTAACAACCTATAATATCAAAATTATTATAAAGTTTACATATTTCTAACAATAAAATTGGCCATGTATCATCATGATGCAGTAATCACATCAAAGATATATAAAAAGTATTGTAAATCAATATAATATGCAACAGCAGATTCTTAATCATCAGACATAATAACAAGGGATCAAAGCGATAAAATAATAGTTTAATTATGTAATGAAGGGGTTGAACAAAAAATTGTATTGAGTTGAGATCAGACAATTAAGAAGCCATATAGTCAAAATAAGAGAGAGAAAAATCCTAAGAATGGTGTAAAAAACTGACGATAAAGTCACCATGGTAAAGAAAGATTTACAACTGCATCATATTGTATACATAAGTCCCGCTTGAGGCATTTAATGGCTATGATTCCAGTGAATTTGAGAAGAGAGATACTGAGTTGTCTATTGATGATCCTGAACGATCTCAGTTTATCAACCTGTGTCACAGTAATGTTTTGCATTAGTACTGATGAAGGTCTCTAATCCTATTTACCTGGGGCTTTTTGGAATCGAACGTAGGCCCTTCATTCTGTTCTACCGATGTGACTGCTTTGACAGTTACGTGTAACAGTTATCGGTAACATGAAAGGGTTACTTAATGAATTTTGATTGAAGTAAATAACATATTGTTTTATGCATGACAGTCAGCTTAGCTGCACGATACGTTCTGGTCAGTATTTTTTTTAAAATCTTCTGTCTATTGCCGCTTCAATATCGTCACCTCCGAGTCCAAGTTGAATGAAAAAACGTTTTTTTCGTCTACTTTTGTTTCTTTAGGTGTTTTATCGTTACTTTTGCCAAATTTAATAGTTAAATTCTTTGAATACTTGTTATTCCTTAGAAGTCTTTTAAACATTCATTAATTCTGCTTCTTCAGACTCTTTAACCCACTTAATTATTGAATCGAAATGGTCACCTAATGTAAAATATAAAGCCATTTCAATTAACAAAATAAACTGTTATCATTTATAAATGACTATATTTAGTTATATGGAAATCTACATATTTATATCATCTTAGTATCAATTAACATCATGAAAATCAACCAATGATCAGTCAATTGTGATTACATCTCAGTCCTACAAGAGGTCGGTCGCGGCTCGGATAGCTCAGTGGTAACGTCTCTAACTGTGAAGCTGGGTGACATGAGATCGAAGCTGCCAGAGAGCACCAGTTCCCTCAAGATTACAGATACACCTTGCTGACGAGTATCACAAGTATCACAAAACCCGGGTCCATGGTTTCCTGTTAACTACCTCCAACCACCATCTAATCTCAATATATATAGTGCCTGCAGTGTCGAGTCACCTAGACTGGTGGCCATATTGCAACATGATCGATAGCATTCGATCTGCACTACTAAGCATGATATTTATCGCCACCCAGTGATCAATCAATTCTGAAAATCAACAGTTACTATCCTTCATTACTAATAGATGGAATTAAAAACCATAAGTAACATGAAAACTAATTCAACCAATCAACATAATTTTAGTTGTGATTTTTTGAAATAATTCTGCAAGTTGATATAAACATAGAGTTTTAAGTTGTCAAGGTAACATGTCTGTTGGACTCTAGATTATCATATTTATTGAATAATAAATGACTTGCCAGTATATTTGAAACCAGAAAGGTTGAATTATATTTATATATTCTATCAGTTATTTCATATTGAAGAATAAATTTAAGTGAATAAATTATCTATAATTAAGTTGAACAAGTTAATAGTTGTCTAACTAGTCAGTTCATATTGTGAAACTATAAATTTTACAATCTGAATAACTTTATATTAATATAACTCGTCATGTGCTTACTAACAACCAACCTTGAAGGCTAATTACCAGAGTTCCAATGAGAAACCATAGTCATTTAAGTTCACCTAAAGACCAACCATGATAATGAATAAAAGTCGTACTATACTTACTGAAGTATGAAATGTTAAACCAATCATCTAACAGTTAGGGGCTTTTAACAAAGTCTGATTGTCATGGATTTAATCTCAAGTGGATTTCATAGCAAGAAATAAAGTCCCCATGTTTGATCCGTGGTAAGATTGTGGATAGTTATTGATCAAGAACTCAATATCAAGATGAGAAAGTTATCCAATGCTTTCTAACTTGCAATAGTTTTCTAATTAATATCAGTCAGTGATGTAGACTACAAAATTCAATAGTCTTCAAAACCCCATATTCAAATAATACTAATAAGTTCACTTGGTATTGATTGTTTGAATCTTCCCATTGATGTTTAAAACTGAAATTGATCAGTCTGTTATTGGCATATGCGCATACTGTGCGTATTGCCTCGATATAGCTTTAATTCACAAGCATTATATGCGAAGATGGATAGTGGCTATCAGAGGAATCCAAGAATCGCGTTTCATCCTATTTGTAGTTCTAAACATCAATGGGAAGATTCAAACAAACAATATAAGATAAATTTCAACTTCACCCCATTACATAAGCAAGTGACTATCATAACTCAGTAGCTAAGTGAATAACGCGATGACATTTAAAGCGAACGATACTGAGTTCGAATCCCACAGTGAACATCAACTCTGAGATACAGATACATCCATCTGACGAGCCCCAAACAGGACGAACTGCGCGTCCTGAATTCCGCTACTAGCTACTATCCATCTTTGTATATAAATAGTAATAAGGTTACAAAGAGTTACATCAAACTTATTATATTATTTAATAGTATACTGGTTAAGTGACATACATGCAAACAATTATCTTTTTAAGTGATTTATAAGCATTCATACATTCATGTGAATTTATTGAAACCAATATTGGTATGGAATTAAGATTGATAAAATTACAAATACACCAGACTATTTATTATAAGATTAAATAATCAATAAATAATATTAATAATACTCAAATCAATAATTAAGTTCCTAGACGTAGTAGTTATAGATTAAAATGATATTGTCAAGTTATGACTGTGTTAATCAATAATCAGCTGATATGAAGTAAAGCATTATTCAAAATGAAAGGAATGAATATTGGATGATTGTTTTATCTTTTCTACAAAAATAAACTGTGTTAGTAAACCAGAGATTTGACAGTCATGTTAATCTAATTAATGTCACCATCTTGAAATATCGGCTACGGTAACTCAGATATATGCTACGAATGAACATTATACATTACATCTCAACCCTAGAACTAGTTGGTAAAAGAGGAGAGGTGGTCAGTATATGAAATGCCGTCATAGTATGAAAGAAAACTTTATAGAACTGGTATCTGTTGGTCCTTCAAGACTCTCTGGTTGAGGTCCTAAAGATAGTGCAGCACAATAGCATGAGGAGTTATCAGACATGATTCAGGATAGAAGCCAGTAGATATCCTGATGTAATTTTCTTCATATAAGTCATATAAGTCAGCAGAAATTTATTGTTGTTGATAAGATTCTTTCTATTTGTGGACTGCTTCTTCCATAATTCGTTACTGTCATTCACTTGTTTTTATTCATTTATTGCTTTTTATTATACTCCCCTTCCTTCATCTACCTCTTCATAATCGCACTTTTTCATTAAATAGCGCATAGTTATTTTATTCTCCATAAGTACCAATAGTTATGTATTCGAACAAATAAACAAATACGGGATGAGGTTGCTAACCCCATGCTCAACCCTCCTCCTTCATCCGGGCTTGGAGTCGGCAGTAGCCTCAAAGGGGTTCCAGGCGAAGTTAAGTGACCAGTAGTACAGATTCATAAATGCACCATTATTGAATGCTCAGTTGAACCCTTCAGTTAAATAATGAAGTGTTTTTTGAATTTATTAAAGTTAAGTGACTTCTTGTCTAAAATATGTATAAAACTTTAATTTAGAAACTGAGAAATTCACTGTGATTTACAGTCTACACCAGATATGACATACATTTCAAATTCCACTCACTAAGTCTACAATTCAAAGACCTATCATTAAGCTTAATTGAAAAGTAATTTAATAATGATAACTTGAAGAAATATTCTCACCATCTTCTAAGTATGGATTCTTCACTTCCATAGAATAATTTTGGAAGACTAAAAGACATAATTAGATTGATTTATAATTCAACGGTGTTAGTCACTATTGAATTATGCACGAATTATTTAACTTAAAAGTGTACACTACCAAATAAATCAAGAAAGTTTACACAGTATTTTAATCTGAATGAGTTCATGGTACTTTTCTTACTAGAATTACAATAAACGGATAACTTTTATTGATATGTTTCATAGTAAAAAGGTTAGTTTGAATAAAATAGTTGCAATAATCGGGCATCCGTTAGTAGCTAGTATCATATAACCGGTTCCACAAAACATGATCCACGACCTTATTAAGAATCTAACTAAAGACATTCAATCATCATGAGAAGCACCGATCGTTTAAACCTCTGTCTTGCCATCCTATTGTTCACATTTCTACCTTCAATCCGTTATCGATATTACACCACTGTCATACGTCATCATTTTAATAGGTGCCTGACTAAAGACAATTTATAATCAAAAACTATAAAGTCGAAAGGTCTCAACGATCCCTTATACTAAAAATTATTGTTTACTGAAAAATTACTGTTAAAAATAGTTCATATTGCATTTACAGAAACATTTTACGCTAGTTTAGAGTTTGTATGAAGATATATTAGTTAGAACTTATGAATATTTTCACAGTTGGATTCACGAACCAATCTAAGCTAGACCACTATTGAAACATACTGATAATAATCATGTGCTCAAGACGAGTTTCCTGTAGTTCTAATGAGAAGCTGCGACCAGTGGAGTCCAATCCTTGTCGGTTAGAAACATTTATCCACCTCACATGATAGATAAAGAATTGCACACGATCGTGGATCGATTGAAGTTAGAAAATAACACTGTCGAATGCCGTCTCAGTGGTCTAAAGGTGATATACAATGTCGATACATGTTCATAACAACTTTCAACCAACCTGATTAGCATATTCATCTTCAATCGATTGAGATGAACCTAACTATATATGCGATTAGTACATGTTATTCTACTGTCCAAAATTTTATTTTTGTTTTCAAGATAATAAAGGGAACTGTACACATGACATTTCTTATCAGTAGATTAATGAGAACTCATTCATATTTTTTCTCCCGATGTACCATCAATACGTAATATAAAAAGAACCTTTTAAAGAAATGTCTTTTAACTGTTCTATTTGTTATATATGGACGAAGAATAGATGAGTGGTAACTGCTAGGATCCATTTATAGACTGTTGTTATATATGTATATATTCTTATTGGATAACAATTAAATAACTATGTTATATGTATCTTCATATTTCTTTTATCATAAGCTTCCGTTTGACCATTTTACTACTAATATACGATTTACTGTATTTAAGTTATTCTTAATTTCTTAGTTACAATATCTCACACTCACAGCCACTTTCGACTTGATGTAGTATATAAATGTTATTTTCTATTCTCTGGTATGATGCAGTCTGATTTGCTTGTATATGTATTGCTTATGTTTGATTTACATGATTCATATATCGTAGGCTGATATTGGTGTTCTAGACTCAAACGGGAACGTCTAGGCCAGAGGAACCAATAAGAACTCAGAGTTGACTCTAGGCTGCTCATACTGGTTAGTGCATCATTGGTTTGCTCCTACAAATTGGTGTTTTTATTGGTGATATACTCACGTAATATATTAACAGGCCATATAGACATAACACTATTCATAGCTACCTTTTTTCACAGCACCATTATCGGCATAACTAAATTTCATACTACTTCTAAATGTATAAAAATTACAGTAGTTTAAATCATGAGTCAATTGAAGCTACACCACCAGGGAAAACCTGGAAGCACTGGATGGCCGTTTCGCCCTAGTATGGAACTTCTCAGCAATGCGCATTCACAATCCAGCCCTCCCGCAATATTCGTACCTTGGACCTATCAGTCTCGCGCACAAGGGCTTAACCATTAGACCATTGAGCCGTCATCAAACGTTGTTAATGTCTAACTTCAACCCATCCATGAAATGCGCCACCATACACCATTGTCTTCAGTGAGCTGATATTTCACAACAGATCTGGTTGAATTAACTATGAAATTACCATCCACAACACATTATAATATCTTCAACTCTATAACAATAATTCATTATCAACAGAGATACATTAAAATAAGTTTGATCTAAACTAAACTAAATATATAAATCCTTTCATAATTGAATGTTTATAATAATTTCCATGAATTACTTACCTATAACTAGGTACAGAAAATACACCCCAATGTATAAATATACCAATTTTAGCTTCATCATACCAATTTGGTAATGGACGTTTATCTAATGAATTCCAATTCGGTTCATAAATAATTGATTGATTTATTGATTTTGAATTGATATTACAATTGATTTTGATGACATAATAAATCAATATAAATGATATATGATAAAAGAATTTGTTCATAATTTGTTTTATCATAAATTTGTAATGTATTACACTAACATGATTTCATATTTATGGCATAGAATAAAAATGGTGTAGCCAATACACTCATTGTAATAGAAATCACTGAATGAGATTGGATAATTTTATACTAACCTTGTTAATGGTCATATTGAAATGAATTGAATATCATGAAAATCTTTATACATGTGATGTGAAGTTAGTTTTATATCGTTAACTGTTTTTGAATAAATATATATTATAAATTGTGATTTGAACTAAGCATTTTAATAAACAAAACATTATAGTATGATGTCGCTTACTTATATCCGTATAAGTAGTATATAACGGTGGTTGGGTATAGAATGTATTTCAGTAGAAGATCGATAAGGAAAAAAACGGGAACGGAGCGCAATTAGTATGAAAATGTATGAACAATGAAATCCGAGACAATGGACTGATATTTGCAAAAGGAATAGTGAAGTTTGAGACGATGGATTAATATTTTGCAAATTAACTATTTGCTATATAGTTCTCAGATTTTATTGAGATACTCTGTAATTTCGTGTCACAAATATTCGATTGTGCCAACTGATTTTCTTGTTCACTATTGTAGCAGTATGGTATGTGCTAATGATACCGGCAGATATAAGTAGTATGTATCGTTAATCAAAAATGAAATGTCTAGAGGTAGATGGTTAAGAAGATCGGAAGAAAAGAGAACGAGAACAAAGAATGATTGATATGAGAACGAAAGAACAATGAATTTCGAGACAATTGATTGACATTTTGCAGAAGGAACAATCAAGTTTGAAATAATTGATTGACAGTTTGAAAATTAAGTATTTACTATATGGATCACAGATTTTACTAAAATGTTCTGTAATATTGTGTTCAAATACATTTGATTATCTCCACTTGTGTTCTCGTTCACTACAATAATGGTAAAATTACCAGTACAGGGTTTTATGAGTTCATAAAATTTTCGTGGATTTTCTATTACAAATTGAACTTAGTTCGACCACCATTTAATAATTAGAAGCACTGAACAACCGTTTTGTCTTAATTTTAGGCTTTCGAGTAAGGGCATCAGAAACCGTATTCAAGACCTTTGGTCTTGTGCGTAATACGGGTGTACAATCCTTACAGTTTTCCAATGGTCATCTAATTAACATTAGTTTGTGATATAAAATCCATGAAAACAATGTCAGCCAGTCAGTAACAACGTAGAACTTCGGACGTACGTACGTACATCAGTTCGAGTTGCCATACCACATTAGCACCGAGAAGCAGTTGTCAATTCAAACCCCGTAGTGGTAGAGGTAGTAAGAGTATAAGCAGTAATCGGAAAGATTGGCGTTTGAAGATGTTATTTAAAGAGTATAATCCAGTGAAATAATTTGGAAAGAGATAAAAAGAGACAAGGAGGATTCAGGAGATTAGAATTTGGGAGAACACAAAGAGTGGATGCACCCGTGCCATTACAAACGATTTTGAGCCATGTCATTAATGTTAACGAAGCATCAACAGAGATGTTGAAACGATGATAATTTTAACACCAACAATGATATTTAAATTTCGCTTTTTGAAAATACATACGCGGAAAGGTTCCTATGTGTATTAGTCGAATAAGGCTATTTCATAGTTAATGTTACCACTGATTTATTGACCTTAAGGTAAGAGATTAAACATATTTCTTTAGAACATGTTAGTCATGTTCTTTAATCTAAATGGTTTCTGTTTGCTCCGTTCAGAGAACGTTTTAGTCTGACTGACTTGGGTAGAAGTTTACCAACCCCATGAATTGTTAAAAATTCTTGATTATGATCAGCTTGCATTAAATAAGCTAATATTGAGATGGTTGCCGTGTTCACAGCCTCTTTGCTCAGCCATGATGAAAGGTATTCATGGTTATTCCCTTCGAACGACATGACGTGTTTCATAAGAGCATAGAACTTATGAACATTGAACAAAAATTCGTCAGTATAGGGTTGTGGAGGTCGTTGAGTTTTAATTGAAGTGATGAGCTGATCGATATTAGACCACCATTGAAATCCTGGAAGCACTAAATAGCCGTTTCGTTCTAGTATAGGACTCCTCAGTAGTGCTCATTCATGATCTCTCATTCTTCTTAAGTGTATCTAGTGATGTTTATGGATATGGTTCGATGAACAATAATGAATGACATTATTCCAACTTATGAATGTTGAAACGAAATAAGTAGTTTGAATTTCTAAGTACCGATTAAGATAACAATAGGGGGAATCAGTTGAGTGTTTAGCTACTAATAATTACGAAAATGTGAATACTCTCAGTTGATGAACAGTTATTTTTCCGACTGGAAGAATATTTGAAAAATAAGATAATGTTCGAATATCAACTTGGATTATTTTGATGGTATTATGCTAACTGACAAATAACGTTTTGCATGTAGTGTTGATCTCTGAATCTATCGCAATTAAATTATACAGTTAATGTCTAATTTGAGCGATTATATGCAACTGTTGTAAACCTTGGACCAAACTTTAATTTTAGTTGACAATTGTCAGCTAGTCGTGCCTGAAATTCTGAAGAAATTAATACTTTCAGTAGGATTTTAACTTGGAGTGATCAGCTTCATAGTCGATAGTAGTGCCATTTAAGCACAAGTGACTTTCTGTACGATCAAGGTGTTTACATTTATCAATATTCAGAATGTAATATCAGCTTCGCTACACAGTGCCGATAGATAGGTTTATCGGCTTACTGAAGAGTACTAACTAGCACGGAAGCTAGATCCAAGACTACCTGTCTTAAAACATATAATATCGAGATTGAGCGCAGAGTGATTATATTTCAATTTAATTTACAGAACTAGATTAGACAAGTAGTTTACCTCAATCTACCCAAAGAATAACTGCTATCTAACATTTTACCAATCTAATAACATACATATTATATAGAAGACAAGTTTCCTAAACTTTAAGGTCCATTCATTTACTGATCATTCCTTTCTTTCTATATTATAAACACAAATCGGAGATAGAAAAACTTTCAAAAGTTAGATTCAGTACATTGATTTTTTTTCATTTAATCGGTTCATGAAGATGTAAACAGTTTTTGTTAACTTAACACTAGTGTAGTGTGTGCTACTTATATTGATATGAGTAGTATATGATGTTAGTCGTGAACAGAAGGTCTGGCAGCAGAGAGACAAGAGGATCGAACAGTAAAGAATGGAAACAGAATGCAATTTATATGAAAATGCAAGAACAATGAAGTCTGAGTCATTTTGAGATAATTGGTGGACATTTTGCAAATTAAGCATTGACTTTATGATTGTTAGATTTTATTAACAAGTCCTGTAATTTTGTGTTAAATACATTCGATTGTCTCCACTGGTGTTCTTGTTCACTACCCTAGTACTGATCTAAATGAAATTCAATCTAAGAACTTCTTCTCTTTTGATGATAACCAGAAAACAATGTTCAATTAATAAATAAAATCAGAATGGGTTTTGTGGAGAGTTTTAGAAATTACACAGGTTGAAATCATGAGTCAGTTGAAGCTAGACCACCATTGAAAACCTGGAAGCACTGGACGGCCGTTTCGTCCTGGTATGGGACTCCTCAGCAGTGCGCATCCACTGCTCAGTGGTCTAGTAGTTAAGTGCTCGCGCGCGAAGCCAGTAGGTCCTGGGTTCGAGCCCCGCGTGGTGCGGGATCGTGGATGCGCACTGCTGAGGAGTCCCATACCAGAACGAAACGGCCGTCCAGTGCTTCCAGGTTTTCAATGGTGGTCTATCTTCAACTGACTCATGATTTCAACCTGTAATAAATAAAATTCCAACTTAAACTAATTCTTGCAACATGAAAAGTTTCTTCAACGTGAATGGAACTCTGAATGTAAAAATTCTGAATACAAGTGATTTACTGTAAACAAATATGTTATTTGAAAAGTATTCAAAAGCTCTCATTTATACCATTTGAAGTAAATCAATTAATTTATTCTTAATATGTAAGATCAATAGTTTAGTATCTATGACAACAAGTGATAATCATGAACTCTGATCGATTTAGTTAATTTGTCTCAATTTTAAAAAAAAACGTTTAAGGCTTTCGAAATGCTTTTCATACTAACAAATTCTAGACAATCGATGTCGTTGTACAGATAACAACAATTGGTCCGTGACATGAGATTTTATGGAACTTCTTAGATATTTTATTCCATAGTGAAGTTAATTATTAAGAAACGCATGAATGATCTTACTTGATTTGTTAATTTATCAAAGATAACTGACGTTCATATATTCATTCGTTACAGGTTTTGAATGGACCAGTTGTAACCAGTATGATGAATAGTCATTGTATTATCAAGCTGAAAACCTTTTAAGAATTAGGATTTCAAAGTAAGAAATAAATCATCGTCAGAAGGCTTCAAAGCAGTAAAATAAGAAAATGTAAAGTCCCAATATGTCAGAAATCAAATGACAAGAACTAAGGGACAGTATTTCAAGTAGTTGACTTAAATACTATAATTTGAAGAGATTGTTGAACATTGTATGTGATCCTGTGTTGATCTCTATGCTTACTTACTTTAACTTAACCATAGTATGATGATGAAGTCATTAAAAAATTTATTGTTGCATTCTGATTTCAAGTGGAAAACATTTTACATTCATTATTTTAAGGTAGGACATTTTGAACTTGAATACATGAAAACGAGAAATTTTACTCCCTCATTCTTCGGGTATTTCATAACGTTCTTTATTTGAATAATATCAGGCAAAGAACTGTTTATCGCTAAATTAATGTACCAATACAGATATATTTGTTTATTATTATAGACTAGGTCTTGAATTTGCAGTAAGAAAGACTGGAGAATAAATAGTTTTTACTAATCCTTGCAACTGGTTCCACTACATGATGTTTATTCCCTAACGTCAGAAGATGGTGTTCTGTTAGGATACTCCAGTAGTCCATGACTTGAAGTCCTATACTTGAACAATGTAATCCTGGATTTAACATACCGCTGGAACCTCAAGTGATTACTTCTAGATAATATAATAACGATCTTAAAAAACCAAACAAGAAAAAACCACTAAAATTATCATCAGCCGTCAGTTTGAAGTGTTTCAACATTAAATGAGAATTAATTCACTTTGCAATAATTTTTATTATGAATTTTGATCAGTTTAAGTTGGCATTTGTACATCCTGTTT